CCCAGGCCCATGGCCCATTCTCATGCCCCTGCCCTGCACCTGCCCATGCCCTTGTGCCTTCCCTTCCTCCCAATCCCAGTTCACGACCGTTGGCTGCACTTCTCCTCTTTTTGGGCCGACAGCGAGTGGGGAGGAGAATGGTTCTCCAGTCCGTTGTTGGGTAATTGTTTGGCTGTTGCCAAACATTCAACGGACGGCTGGCAGGGACTGCCAACTTTTAAGCAAATGAACTGCAAGTGCCAGGCACTCAGCGTGGCCAGGAACTTGGCTCACGAGTTTGGCCAAAATCTACAAGTCGGCACTGCCATTGGGAGGGAGTTCGCTAACTGCTACAGCAGTTAATAGAAGCAACTACAAAAATAAATCAACTCTATGAACGCGGATATTAAAGGGGTCTCTTTGCCAATTTTGTGTCCAAGCATTCTATTTACCTTTCCCTTTTTATACCGGGCACTTTTATAACGTAAAGGGTATATTGTTTTATTTGGGAATAAAGAAAAGAGTTTTGGATCTATAAAATATATATTTTATTATGGAAAAACAAGAGTGTAGATATACAGTTTTCTGTTTACTGGAAAGTCGAGATTTTGGTTGCTAAAAAAATACTTAAAAATATGTGTTTATCTCATAGCATCCTAAGACTTTGTTTAAGAAGATTTGCTGAGAGATTTTTTTTTGAAAATAAAGCCAAGTAGGAAAATTCCTATATCGGAGAAATGTTTAATGGTCCTCCTGCGGGAGTTTACCTTATTCATTTTAAAATCCACGGCTTTTCCTCGCCCCATCACCCTTATGCACTTACGGGTGCCCAGTTCATGTTTAAGCAATGTCGTTGGCCTATACATTTCATTCGCCTGACAGAGCCATAACTTCTGGAGAGAAAACGTGACAGCCAGTCAGTCAAGCGGAGTACGAGAAGTGTTTAATGTGGCTCCACTCGATCCCCCCGGAAGCATTTGTGTGCTTAAAAGGGTTAGCTGTGACATGCTGAGTTCACGCAAAGAAAATAAAAAACCCGTGCAAGAATATACAGCTTAGGTTGACCCGATTTGGTCAAGAAAATCGATTTGCGAAGAACCTTTTCTCTAAGATAACACCACAATCAAATGAAAGAGATAACAGCTATTGTCCCTTAAGGATTTAAAAAGTGAAGTTACTATAAGAGAATTTAATCCTTGGAAACATATTCAACGAACAACTAATATTACTTTAAAATTTAAATTAATATTAAGTAATTTTAATATATTTTATAAATTATTAAATTCCTCTTTATTTTTTTAATAAATATATTAACAATGCAGTCTTTAAAAAGTGGTTTGTATGCATACCCCTAACATAAACATGAAATTAGGGCAGTTATGAAGATTGTGAGGTTTTTTGAGTGTAAATTTTTCACAGCATTAGCATAAGCCTTTTTGAATTTTCTTTTTGGTGGCAGCCCAATGGGAATAAGGAACATTTATTGTGAAAACAAAACTAAATTAATGAAGCGTAACGAGCAGTCCCGCAAGTAACAAAACTTTTGGATCTCATTGTTGGGCTTTCTGTTTGAGTTTCAATTACGTTGAACACTGGCCCTGGCATCCCTTTTATGTTTATGTTATGGGGCCAAACTGTTGCTTTTGGAACATAACGAATATTTATGGCTTATCAATTTTGCGAACACGTGCGAACGCAGATACGAAAAGGTCAGCGGAGGCCAAAGTCTAAAGTCTCTCAAATAACCGAGGGGTCCCAGGATAGGAGAAAAATCAATTAGCTGCTGTCTAATAAGATATTCGCCTTTATTGCCGACAATACGTAAAGAAAAAGCAAAATTGCGCATACGCAGTGTCTGTCGAAAGGAACACTTTGCTTTTTAGTTTATGTATCGACAGTTGAAAGGTTTGGAAAGCAACATTTTAATTAAATATATACACGCCGCCGGTGGCCTACACTGCCCCAAAGCTAATTAATTTAATTATTAAATTGTTTTGAATTAAAGTATAAATTAATAGGGAAATTTTATAATTTTATATTTCGCCAGTTTTTTGTGCTATTTAATTATGGGAAACTGCGTAAATCAATTGGTTCTGGGTTTGTCGTCAAATTGAACGTTAAAACCTGGTTAACAAGCTATATATAACAAATATATAATAAAGATATATTTAACATCAACTTTGACTTTATATTTTTAAGCTAATAAAGAATCAAAGAAAATGAACTTTTCTCAAGAAAATATTCTTAATTAATCATTAAGAAGCTTGTTCGTTACTCGGGCAGTGTATTTTTCCCTGTCGTCCATTTTCCTCTGCCCGACAAAGCGGAAAAACGGAGATTCCGGTGAAATGGCAGCGGGGAGCGGAGTAATCAAAGGCCCGGCCGCCTGCCGTGACAGGACAGGCTGTTTGTATTGCTAATTAAACTTGCGCAAAAGCAATGGCATTGTTGCCGTGTCTTACAAATACTTTGTGCAAATCAAAGCAAGGACCTTGGGGCAGGACGAAGCGGGGTGACCGACATTGTTTATACACCTGTTGGACAGAAGTTTGGGTAGCAGTTTATCGCCTGGATAGTGAAATTCGTTAATAATGCTAATTGGTCGAGCTGCTTGGGGGAGCTTTCTTCGAATAGATTTGCAAGAGCTAACAACATAATGCTATTGTTGATAAAGCACGTTGCCATTACAAAGCTATTTGGTGTAGTCTTAGGCTAAGCTGTAACACTTCCTTGAGTATTTAGCAAAGCCAATAGATTATGAGCTTCATTTCATTTATTTGCAAATTAAATGGAGAATTTACACAGAAATAGATAGCAATGTGATGATTCTAAGGCTTGAAATAAATAAGGTAATGTAGTTAACTTTTAAAATATAATCTTCCATGGTCATCTATAATCACAGGTCACAAGAAACCTCACAAATTTAAAGCTAAACGCAAACCAATTAATTGGAAACAACAAGCTGGCTCACTCAACTTGAACTATCAATAAGCTTCGAAACAATAGTTGACAATCGTCTGATATTTGTTTCCTGACTGTGTGCCTGTCTACCGACGACTATTTATAGCCGACATCTTCTTTAATGTCGCTCAACAATTTTCAGCCATTATTTTAAAGGCCCGGACGGAAGAGGAGCAGCTGCGTCTGCCCACCTTGTGGGTGAGTGGTTCCGGCCAAAAATTCCACTCCGTGAGACACTCATAAAACGCAGGCCAACTCGTGGGATTAAAGTTTTTCAAAAAAGAGTCCCAGCTGCATAAAGTTACCTAAAATGGGCGACAATTGGCTTAAGATTGTGATCAGTGGTGTATGCGGAAAATCCTGCGAAGGCTTGAGATTGCAAATATGGATATTACGGCAGTATAAGTGAATGACATTTTTTCCTTAAGAAATATGAGAGGAATAAACAATATTTTTAAAAATCTCTTCGTTTAAGTACCTGGTAAATAAATGTCAATCAAAAAAGTTAAAGTAACATTTAAGAGAAAGTGAGCATCACAAAATTGCTTATTAAGTGAAATAAAAATGTTTATTAACAAAGAGTCCCTTCAAAAAAAAATTAAAAATAAATTATTTTCATTTGAAACTTAAGTTTTAGCCAAACAAAATGTCTCAAGTACAAATCGCATCTCTCCCCGTCTCTTTATATCTGTTTTCATTAGCCAGTTTCGGGCCAAGAGTAGCCCACTTCAAGTCAGTGTCATGCAAATTGGATCGGACCCGTTGCCGGCATATCCGCTGCACTGCTCTTTGTCCGGACCCCAGTTCCTTATCTGCCGCGCCCATCTGCGCCTGCCACTCGACGCCGACGACGCGTCGTCTGGCGTCCGATTCCCAAAGCTGCATCTCGAGATGAGCTGGAAATAGGAGCTGAAGATGGAGCTGGAGATGGAGAAGGAGCAGGACCAAAGCGTCGGGAGATTTGGGATGGAATTAAAGCCGGAATTTGATTGTATTGCTTGAAAAGCATTTCACATTCTGAACTATTGGTTTTAAAGCATGTTTTTTTTTGTAAATATTTGTGAAAATTATTTTTAAAGATTTTCTGCAGATGAAATTAAGCCGATAGTTTCGATACTTTGGATGGGGATTCTGTCCCAACACTAGGGCATTGCATCTGGACAGTGCATGGCTCCACTAGTGATAAACTTGTTGCTTGTCCGCGTCAAATCCTGGGCCATTTTATTATTCGCAGCCCTCACAGGCACGCAACGCCTCTGTAGAGTGCTCGAGAAGCTATTATCCCCACACTCGGGTCCAGTCCTCGGACTGAGTGCGCTGTAAATAGTTAAGTACAAATTGCATGGCTAATTTGAGCTGTTGCATAAGGCTTTAGCAGCACACAGCAGACGCACACTTGGAGCTGCGTTGATAACCTGACCGTAGATTTGGCTTAGAGAAGGTGCGAAGTGACAGACGATTTGGCATGAGTAATGGGCGTTGAGAGCTCTGCCCATGAAGTAGGCAGGTTTATTGGCCACTGTCAAGAAATAAGTCTTTCGAAAGTCAGAGATTGCGCAAAACAATAAGGAACAGTACCAAAAGTCAAAGAACTCTGAACTAAGAATCTAACGGAGGCAACAAAAGGTAACAAGAAATATTTTGTGGAATTAACACCAGCTGAGCGAATTTGTTTTCATTCTGGCTTAGAGTTGGGTGACTATAAAAAAATTGTTACAATTTTCTACTGTAACTTTTGGCTCCATATAAGTTTGAAAAAGCGGGAAGAGACTGTGGTGGTAATTTGTCTAAATAGTTCATACAGATAATATCAGAGAGACTTTCAACTTCTTAATGCCTTAAACAAACACTTTACGCGTTGCCCCAGAACTCTTTGGGCTCTAAATGATTGCACAAACACAAACAAACACAAGACCCAAGAAAATTCCCCAAAGTTTCCCACACTGCAGTCTAACCCAATTTGAAATGTAAGCCCCTCTAATTATGATTTATTCCACATCTGGTCAGCAGCCCGACCTTAACAAAAACCCCGCAGCCCAAAAAAGGCAATCGAAACTTACCAACTGAACGCGCTTGTTTGTTTATTTATTTACAGCTCTATTTGTATGCGGCCCGGGAGCAACTTTAACTTCGTTTTAATAGTTATATTCATCGACATCATTTGTTGCTGCTGGCTGTTAGTCGGCCGATGCTCTACCTTTCCACCGTTCTAAGACGACTGCGAGCACAAACACAATCACTTCACTGAAGGGGGGAGAATATTTCCAAATTTTTATGTTGCTACAAATTGCCTCGATAATTTGCATAAATCACGTGATTTAAAACAATACAAATATGTGGTGTTGCGTTAGCCAAAGTCCAACAAAAATTTCGACAAAATAATGCCTTTACACCATTTGCACAACGCGTATTTGGCATCTGTTTAATGGAGCGCAATGAGACTGGCTTTTGTTTCTCCTCTGTATGCTTTAGTGGGGCAGGCCAACAAATACAAAAGCATAAACTTAGTGGGTTGGACTAAACATCTGGCTGTCGGCGAGCGTGGCTGCGACCGCGCGCGAGGGAACTCGTTTTCTGACTGACGCCAAGCTTTAAGTCCCAGTGTAGCCCGCAGACGGGTTCGAAGCGAGCATGTTGCAGGTTGCCAGTCCCGGGTTGCCGTGTGGGTGGGCAAGCTGTTGCTGCTGCTGCTGCTGCTGTTGGGGCTAGTGTGCCGTGCTTTTCCATGTGCCTCATATTAATTGCAGCGTTTACTAGTTGAACCCGTCGCCCACACGCGCCTCGCGAATAAAACAAACGGCACAAGCACAGCCGTTGCAGCCGCAAATTTCTTTCTTTTCTCAGTTTTTTATGCCGCTACCGACGCGACGCCTACCCAGAAACTATATGCAGAATATGGGAGCTCGTCCAGCTGGACAACGCTCACCTTGTTGAGACCTAAAGCCTCCGGATGGACCTGGACCATGGCTCCACTCCACTCCGCCTCGCTCCTTATTTGCATTTTATTTACATTTCAGCTGTGCGGCTAAAAAGGCGCATGATTAAGCAATAAATTCACGCCAGGCCAAGACAAACGCTAGGCTCCTAGTTGGAAGGTCATCTACTGAAATACAGAGAGAAGAATATCACCAAGAGCTGTCTATTCCACCCCTGACATGATTTTTGGTTAATATATGATACCTGGGGGAATATATTTTCAATTAGGAATTTCTTTTAGGTGAGCTAAGAGATAAGAGGAAAATATAGCAGAGTCTTAATATGTCTTAAGAACTAAGTACGACCTAACTCTAAAACAGGTGATATTTTGGCACACTTATGTGTTATTTACGATCATAAATTTTACTATTCTTTAAAGCCTAGATTTCACTTTATTAAAACATCATTTTTTGAATTTTCTCAAATTTAATTATATACGTTAAAATGTTTAGTTTTTACTGTAAAAAATATCAAATTTGCTACACATTTTTTCTGTGTACATGTAATTGCAATTTTGGAGCAAACTCCCCCTTTGGGTATATTGTTGCTGTTGTTAACGGTGCTTTTTTTTATTTATTTATTATAGAGTTTTTTTTTCTTCCACTGTTGCCTCCCACGACTTCATGCAGATTTTCTATTTGTATTCACAATTGATTTGCATTCGAGTATTTCTGTTTCCTCCACCGGAGAGCGGAAGCCATCGTTGAAAAAGAGCGCGGGAGAAAGGTGTAAGTATTATGATTACGGGGAATTGCGGAGAAGGTAAATAATACGGTCGTCGGTGTGGGCCCAACAGGTGTCTTTGGGGCTGGCTATGATAATGGTTAGTAAGTGAAAAAGGAAATCTAATACCGGGATAGATGGATGGAAGGAGGGTATGCCATTGCAGTTGAATAAGAACCGGTGTTAAGTAAGACGAGACAAGATCAATACAGCAATAATATGTAACTTGAATATATTTATTTATTATAATAATTGTAAATATGCTTATTATAACAATACATAATAAAGTAATTATGGGATATATTTGACAGAACAGTTACTAAGCTCCAAACCCCGAAAAAGGTTCGTAAGTTAGTCAACAATAGTTACAAGAAGCTTAACATTTCAGCAAAATGGTTTTTAATTTTAAAAGATATTCTAAATTCAAACAAATTTATTTAAAACTGTAATTGATTCTGTTTCCAATAGAAGCCCACCAGATCAATGCTCCCAAAAAGACTGTCACATAGATCTTCACTTGCCTTAATACATTTCCATTCTAAATGACTTCATTGCCAGAGTCAAACAGATTAAATCTCTATTGGTTTTTAAATAAGTTGCCTGACGGCGCTTGGACGGCGTCAACAGACCCCAATGAACCCGAACCCGGGGACCCGATCCCAAGCCGCGTCCATGTCCACGTCTAAGCCCGACCCTGACCCCAAGGCAACTTTTGGGCACGCCAATTATGACGACGACTTCATCGACGACGCATTGTTTCCACCAAAGATTCCCCTCACCACTTCAGTTGCTGCGGCCACGGCTGATGATGACTTAATCGGTGATCGGGGTTTCGGGGTTTTTGTGGGCGTTATAATGATTTATTACGCCGATTGACCACGCACTGTAAAAGCGAACTTACTAAAACGAAGACAGAATAAACCAGTAGAGCCTATTATTGGGTTTGTTGACTTAACTCAAGTCAAATATGCTCTTGGGGTATGGCGTGTTAAGATAAATAATTATAGAATATTGAAGATAATTACAAGGTAAATACATGAATTACTTTCAAATAATGTTGAAAGAATCTACTTTCTTTGCTTTAATACTTACTTGCTTTAATTTATGTTTATTTTTATTAACATTTAAATATATTTAAATTTAAATTCACATAACCATCAGGGTATTCTGCCTATCACTCCACCACTTCCCACTGGCATGACAGCTACTGGAGCAGATTGGATGTGTGGGTGAAGGCTGGGTGGCCGCTTTACAGGATGACACAGAGCAGTCAAGTGTCCTTGCCTGCGTAGCAGCAGCAGAAGCAGCAGCAGCCGGATGATATATCACAGAGGCAGACGGGCTGCAGGTGTATGCCAACATCATCCTCACCATCATCTTTCTCATTAAGACCCGGGTGTCGTCGGGTAGAGGCAGCCAGTCGTTTATTTATGCACTTGACTTGCGTGGCGCCTTGGGCGGGCGAGCTGGGGGGTGTGGCAGAGGCAGAGGGCATGCCCAAGCACAGCCTTAATGAGCATATCATATTTCACACATGTCCGCTCGCCCGTCGTCACCTCTTTGAGCGCCCGTTTAGCTTTGAGTGCAATTTGAAATTGTTTTTCGAGTGCACTCAATGGGCCCCACAAAAAGATGAAACCCAAAACTGACAAATGGCCCAAGCAAAGCAGTTTATTACTTGGCCATGTTTTTGGGGGGCCATTTGATATGCCCAAACTAAAATGCTCAGACCTGGAAAAGCATACTTAATCTTCTAAAGTACGTTGAGAGTAAAACTTTATAACGTGCATTAGCTGTGGTCCTGAGTAAAATTGTTAAAAGTTTATCAGCAGCAACTTGTGTTTCCAAAGCTTTTAAATGACAGAAAGTGGGGAAAAACTTCTAGCTAAAGTCAAATTTATTTTAACTTAAACTAATTACTCACAAAAAAAATAATAATAGTTACTTAAAGATATATATTCAACAATCTTAATAAAAGATATTACAAGTAGGGTACTTCAATTTTTGAGGGTACTATAATTTCAATTAGAAGCGGTGAAGTAGTAATTTCCGACCCTATAAATCATATATATTATTGATCAGCTTCAACAGGCGAGTCTTTCTAGCCATGTTCAAAAGAAACAAAATTTTTTTTTAATTTTTTCTAAATTCTATAAGGGGTTACATCATTAAAATTTTCAAAATCGGCCAAAATTAAAATATTCTAAAATTCTAAATTTAGTAAGCAGATTTATTAACCTTCTAAAAACAAACACGGAAATACTTTCCGAATTGAAATTAAGGCATTTTTGGCGTAGTTATTAAAATTTAAAGCTTTGATAGGCCCAAAAATATTTTCATATAAAAATATCGATTTAGAGATTAAACAAATTCAAATTATTTTCTATCTAAAATAGTTTAATAATAATAATACTTGTTAATATATAAAAATATATAACATGAAATCAAGAAATGGTTAGAAGGTTGGCTAAAATTACAGGTAATGGTTAATTTAAAGAGGTGCCAAAGGTGCCAGAAACTTAATTTGTGATGTAGCAAACCAAACTGAAAAATATTTAGAGCTCCAAGCTGAGTTCCTGAGACGAGACACTGAGCACATTAATTATGTTAATTGAACTGTAGCACTGTGGGAGAATTGACTTGGAGAGACGGGGAAAATATTAAGCCATCCTCCGCGGAACCACAGACACATAACTCATAATGCCATTTCCACATGAAGACTTCACTTAGCAGCGTCTCCAGCAGACAAATATAGCTTCGGGCTAGACTTCATTAAAACCTGCAGCAGATAGTGGCCAGCACGGATGCAGCAGGGTTCTCTTCTGCTACTCTGCCAGCTGGGAGAAAGGCGGAGGAGGCAGCCGACGGGCATTGCTTATGGGTCCAAGTCTACAAATGTACAAACTGCAGTCGAGCCTAATGACCACAAAAATAGCAGCTTAATTTATTGGCCCACAACGTCAATACTGAACACTGAAATAAAAAACACACTAAAATAGTTTCTAAAATGTGCGAATAAACTTGGCATAATATGTAGTACAAATTAAGCTGTCTTTTGGTAATAATTATTAAAATTAAGAAACTTGTATTTTTGATTAAAATTTTCAAAGAATTTATAGTGGAATACTTCCAGTGTTTCTTAATAAAGTCAACCGATGGAAGTTAAGCATCCACCCGTGCATCTGCTTTCTATTTACCTATTCGCCACTTATTCCAGCCTCTTTTTGTGGCCTCCAGTCTCCCCCTGCTCGGCTCCCAAAAGCAACAGTTGAGTGATTTATGAGCCAAACAAGGAGCTCCTCGCGTGCGTTATCAGTTAATTTGGAAATTACTCGATAAACAAGACAACATTTTGGCCTCCATTTCCCCCCTTGAGCTGTGGTTTTATTGACGTATCTGCAAATCGCATTAGCAGCGTGTTTAATTGCATAAAATGTGTGCTCAAAGCACATAAATTATGCAGCTCCCAGCGCATCTCAGGTGTTTGGGGAGAACAGGACGAGGAGGGAGGGGGATTGGCCGGCCTATTAATAGAACAGGGCCAAGCTCAAGGCCAAGTGCAATCAGCGAAATCAATCAAAAGAGCAGTCAAAAAATAAAAGCACGCTGCCTGCACTCGTAAATGAAAAAGCGCAACAAACAGGCTGGCAAGGACGCCATCAGACCCGTGTTTCCTTCCCAGCCGAGATGCATTGTCAGAGCGCGAACAATGCATAATTACTGATAATGATTTGGCGCATTGTTGAGGTCGGAGTCGTCGGGTCTATTGTTCTGGATGCTGGGTCCTCGGATGCTTGGGCCAGATGATTGCCTCCTGATCGGGCTTAGTTATGAGATAGATTCGCGGGATCCGCGGCAACGCATGATTCTGGTGAAGATTCATCCTATGCATGATTCGATGACGATAAAATAATACAAATTGATTTGCGCGTCATGTTTTGGCGATAAAATTTAACAACAACAAGCCTGGATAAGCAGTGTGTACTGGAGAAAAAAAGGGTGTAGTCTTGACTTTTGAAATAAATTTTAGAGCCAATTTCTTTCTGCAACTAATTTTTACTCAAAATTCAATTTAATATTTATTTACTTTATTATAATAACTTTTTGATTTTTGTTCTAAGTTAAGTTAACTAAAGAAATAACTTATTTTTCCACACTGCATTCGAGCGGAAAGCGTCATGCGAAATAATCATTATCGACGGGTTCTTCACGAAGCAGGAACAGAGGAGTAACGAGGCCCTGCCTTCCTGCACGGCCCGCAAATCATAGTTAACGACGGCCCCCATCCTAGGCACAAAACTTGGATTTCTGATGCCACAAGGGCCATGGGGAAGGGGTTCCCTTGATGGATCCCAAATACGTTTTCAATTAATCTCGCAACGATGTTATTTTTCACACCTTTTGGTGATTGGTCGGTGGCCGGTTGTTTAGGCTAATTGAGCAGTCAAGTTGTGCCCGTAGGGTTGAAACACTTAATTTTTTATGGATGATAACATATTTAATGTTTGCCCCTAGATATTTTTTGACTATAAATCTCGCCAAGTCTTGCTAAATAAGGGTTTATAAGTTCAGTCACAGTAATCGAGTTATTTCTTATCCTATACCTTATAAGAAATCGTAGACTATTTAAAATAGTCTTGTTTCCTAAACTTAAGGTGAATGTAAAAATGCTTAGCAATCTTACAAGAAGCACGATATACGTTTCTAAGAATAGTAACATGGACACGCTTCTAGTACACTCGCAACGCCCAAATTCACAGCGAAATGATTTTGAGTTTTTTAAACAAGTTTGTGAGATTTAAACCAAGCAAACAACCTGAAATACAACTCATACAGAGAGGTAAATAAAGTCTTAAATGGAACCCTTTCCCAAAATCTCCTAGCAAACACTTTGGTTATATTACATACAAGATACTTATTTCAAATAAGACTTTTAAAAGTACAATCGTTTCATGAATGGTTTTTATTTTACAAAATGTGTAAATGATGAAGTGTGAATAATGTATGTGTTTCTTTACAATATGATATGGGTAAATGCGGAAATGATGAAGGTGCTGATTCCAAGCTCTAGTTTGATTTTATTAGTATGTTTAGTAATGTTTGATCGATATGTTAAAGAATTTTAAATTCTAAAATGGGTTGTTTTCGTTGAAGCGACGGCGCTCGCGTTCACGAAACTCGCGGCGAGCCGCCGGCGGATTTCCCTGGGGATTGCGGATTATTAATTCCCTTTCACAATGATCCTGCGGATTGTATGTCCCTGCCGGCGGCTCAGCATCCCAGTCCTCAGTAGACTCCACACAGAAATTGGGAAGCTTTGGTTCCTCCTGTGGCAGCTTCAACGGATTTCTAGAGTATTCCATCTTCGAGCGATCGGGACAAGTTTCGACGTTCGCTTTCATCTCGGCCACGGAGTGGATATGGTTGGAGTTAAATGGATGTCTAACCTTTTTGGTGGAAGGAAAGTTGCGTGCGCAGCGTATAAGGTGCCTGGTAAGGCGACTCGGAATCAGACGATGGGTGCTGTCATATGGACATATTACATAATCATTAAGCTTTGTTTCCGGAGCAACCACATTATTTTCCGCCATTCTGTAAGTCAAATTTGAAAATTTTCTAAGTTTTTGCGTCTAGTTCAAGGCAATATAATTTTGGTTAAAACCAGAGGAAAAAATTGTGTAGCGAGTCTTAGATATGGTACAAGTCTTACCTGATATCTCCAAAGATTTTCCGTAAAAAGCAACAACCAAAGTTATTTGAAGAAATAAAATATTTTCACCTGCTTTAGGAATTAAAAGTGCCTTGTCATGCCGTATCGTCCCTGACGTTAGAAATGTGAACAACTCGATTTCAACATAGATGCTATCGATTTCTGTGATGCGATAATCGGTTTTGAAAGAATTAATATATTGCATGCCATTTTAATAACAAAATTTTGAAAAACTTTGATTTGGCGAAACTAATATATCATATAAAAATATCAATTTAACTTAAAGTTTATATATTTTTTATTTTATGAAGTTCTAAACTTAGAACTTTTAGTTTAGGACCACGACTTTATTTTGCCCACGAAACGTAGTCGGCTGGACCATAGTGACTGACTTCAGTTTCCGTCATAAACAAAAATACTTTTACAGATTTAAACTTGTGTAGTTGAAGAATCGGGAACCAAAAGCTTTAACCATACCACCCAAAGCTTGTGAAGATTTTAGCGATGGGAACTAACTTTGTAAACTTGATGTACAAACAAGTAGCATGTAGAGTCATGTAGTGTAAATATGCTTTTAAACATACTACTAATCCTAAAATAAATTTGTAAAATACAAAAGCGTTTAAGAACAAGTCTACTACACCATAGCATGTATTTTTTAAACGCAGTTAATGGTGCAATGATCTTGGTTATAATCGAAAATATATATAAAATGAGGTGTACATATATATTTTATTTTAGCAAATATCCATCTGTCTGTTTATCTTAATGATAGCTTAGGTAAGAAATCATGGCCTGAACTATAGGTTTTATCCTATTGGCTGTAAGGAATTAATAGATATTATTTCATAATTATTATTATTTGAGAAATATTTTTAAAATTCAATAACAAGTTTTGGAATCATGCAGTTCGGTCGATTCCAAACCTTTCAATATAATTCAATATGTTTCTTGGGAAAGTTCAATAAGCTTCAAGCTACGCCTACTAACGCCCACCCGAATCTCTACCCTGACTTGACCCAGGAAAGGAGCCTTTGCCTTTGCTTTCGCAGCAGAACAGTATACTTTCTGGCTTTTCTCAACGTGTGTTGATCACACTACAGAGAAATCAAAAACAATTTTAAATTGTCTTCGTTATTCACAAGCAACTAGCTATTCGTTCATTATGCACACCATCACATACAAACGCCTGAGAGACGAGGAGCTGGAGGAGTTGCACGTGTGGCTCCGCAAGAACAACATCAACGGCAATAAGCTGCGGCGCGAGTTCTCCGATGTCCTGCCCCTCGCCGAGCTACTGAAGCGCGACCATCCCCGAATGATCGACCTGTACAACTACCCCAAGAAGTGCAGTGTCAATCTGAAGCTGATCAATTGGGAGGTCTTCAACCACAAGGTGATGTCCAAATTTAACCTGTCCCTCAGCAAGGACATCATGGAGCGCCTGTCCAACGGCACCGAGGGTGCTGCCGAAGTTCTGCTCTATGAGATAATCCGGCTGGAGAAACGGCAGCGCTTGGAGGAGGAGCGCAATGCGGTACTGCGGCAAGAGCGTGTCTGGGAGGAAAACGATGAAGTCAAGACCGTGTCGGTTAACAAGCAGATCGGCGACGCCATTGTTCAGGTGCCCCAGAAGATGATTCTGTTCTCCCTTTATGAGAAGGTAAACCGCGACAGCAAGGCCAAGGACGACGTAATCGATACCTTGCAGCAGCAGGTAACCCACATGGAGAACATTCTCAAGTTAAAGAAGGAGCGCATCGATGAGCTCCTGATGCAAATGGGAAAACTACCCCAGGAAAATACCCCCAAGGACTCCAGCCGCAACTATAGCAGCCTTGGCATCCATTCGTCCCATGGTTCGGACAGCTTCAACTAACCTAGAGTGGCTCACTGCAAAATACTTGTATTCCTTTTAACGTTTATATTTTTCAAAATCTTAATGCGATTTTTATGAATAAATAATTATTTACCGACTTTTGACTTTTGCCAGAAGAATGTGAAAAAAAATCACTACCAGAAACCAGACCTCTTTTATGTCTTTTAGCCATAAGCGAATCACATGTAAATTGTAACATTTCTCTATATAGTTGGCGACTTAACATTTATTTATACATTTAAACATTTCATTTGCCAGGACTATAATGCAATTGGGCAACATGGCGCCTGCGTAATATTATCTTCAAAGGCATCGCCTGCCATTGAACATCAGATTGTCTTTCATTTTAAGCGATGTCCTCGCTCATTAGGCGGCCAAATGTCAAATGTGTAAAGCAAATACAGCTGAACAAATTAAATTGAAATTCGAAGGGGAAAATCACACCAGAAACACAGAGCCTAAATGAATTTATTTTCCTTAAATGTATATTCTTCTTCAGCTCAGGAGGCATAAACCTACATTTTCTTGTTAAATGTCATTTAATTTGATATTTTTCTTAAATTTCACGTTAATGTCATGGTTCAGGAACATCTATTTGCATAGAATTCCCACTAACTGACCCCTATCTCATGCCTGCAAATAATTTTGACAGCTTAAATGAACGCGATGTCCAACTTTTCATATCCTGCAACGCTCAGGGTGGCTCCGAATGAGACTTTGGGTTGATTTTGGGGGCCAACTACGTAGGCGCCGCCTACTGATGTGTGTGTGCGAGCTGCGTAGGTGACCGGCTAACCAACAACAACTCGCCCAATTCCGATGCCAGCGAATGGCAGCCAGCTAGCATAGCTTTAAATCACCGCGACCCCGACCCGTTGACGTCACAGGTAGCAAGGAAAATTGCGTTGGCGCCAAAGCTAAAGCCGAGACGTAAACCAGCTGGACAGCCGGCAGGCTGGAAAAGCTCCAGATTGAAGAAGCAACAGGAGCAACCAGTTGAGGTTGAATGGTAAACGCCGACTTGGTTGACTTCGTGGGGACTCCGATTCCGGCTCGGATTCGGTTTCGGATTCGGGAGCGTTTCGGCTTTTGTGGATGGCTATAAAGCAAGTCGTTGGCCTCGGGAACGTTGCATTCGTTCGGCGCGCTTCGAAAGAACCTCAACTGGCAGCTGAGAAAGCAGACAAAACCTTGAAGCTGATTCAAAAAAAATAGTTTTCAACTTTACTCCGTGTGTTTTTGGAGATCAACTTTTTGCCCCTTGACTGTTTTGTGGGAAAAAGTGTAGTATACATTTGTGCGCTCGCTCATTTGAACAGACCTCGATACAGAAAAAGCCAAACAGAAACGACTTTTCAAGGCTTTTTCGCTTGAAATTTGAAGTTAAAAATCCATTGGAATCAGTGCTTGTATTGTTTGAGTTTAATTGCTAAACATTGTAGAACAGGTGAGCCATTAAAAAACTGTATTTAAAACTATCTACGAAAAAAGCTAATAGCTTTGCTTTTAAAAAATGTGTATTCTTTGGCGTAGCGATATTACATAAATGATTTAAATATAAAAACAATTATATTAAAAACATATTTTGATAAGCAAACAATTAATAATCTAAATAACATTATAAATCAAAATTATAAGTACTCAGCGCTTCATTGGTCTTGGTAATGCATTTCAGTTATTGAACAATGAATTTTAAATATATAATTCAGGATTTGGTGGAATATTTAATTTGTATGCACTAGCATTAAAGTTGTTTTCGTCTGAAATTATGGTTTATCCATGCAATTACCAAATTATTAATTAATTTCGGCGGGCGAACAGACTTCAATCACAAAGAATTAAATTATGTTTTCTTTGTTAGCAGTCAGAGTGCTTTCAAAGTTAAAGTCGGTGTTACCCATATCAAAACGACATCAGCTACTTTGCCAAACAAAACTCATAAAATACCAATTATTGTCAATCAACTTGTATATGGACTTTCCGAAAGGTTAAGAAAGTTACAGTCTGTTTCTTAAGTTTGCTGAATCTAGCGTGAAAATGGACAATTTATATAAAAAATTATATGGGGTTTATTTAAATTAAATAAATATGATTAACTAAGTTTAAATATTTTCAACAAAAAACAAAATAAAGAAAATAAGAAGACAAGTTAACCAGTCTTTTTATTTTCGTTCAATACAATAGGTTTTCTTAGTTTATCTAAAATGAATATCCTCATTTTTAATATTTCAAATTAAATTATTTTCCAAACAAACATATGTATATTTTCATTGCATATGTTTCCACGTGTACACAGTATTTCCTTTGAGCAAACACTATATTCAAGTTTTTGCGAAGCCAAAACATTATCATTACGCGGCAAAAAGCAGGCAAACAAACAAGGTCTCGAATTAAGATTGTTGTCCAATGATACGGGTAGAACCGAATTATAGAATTTTGGGGCGTGCCTCAGCTTGGAGCTCCCAAAACAAGGAGGCGTTAACTTTAATGACACATGGCTAATAAAATGCGGAAACAGAAGTGGAGCAATCAGATGAAAACACAAGACAAGAACTCAAGTAATTTAAACAACATAATGCTGGGTCAGATTGGGCACGCCTCTTCCAGATCACTATCGGAATAGGGATTTTACATAATTTGAATACAGAGAAAGCCAAAACACATTTTATATTTTATATTATTTATTTTTAATTCAAAAATCAAAGTTGGTTTTAAATCTCTCTTTAGTTTGGCTCAATTGAGTAGAGGAACTAATTCAATATCCTAAACTCGTGGTTAATAAAAAACCCATTTTATTTAATTATCTTTATTAAATTTGAAGTTTTCAGAAAATTAAGTAATAAAAAAGTTCTCTTACTTTTAAAACTAATGTATGTAATTAAAAAAAAGTTGTAAAGAAGTTTTTAGAATTACTGTTTTATTTTTTATATTTAATAAAAATGTTTGCTTTACGTTTTTTACATCATGACTTTAAAAGTATTCCCTAATCCTAAAGGGATCCCTAATTAACCAACACAACAAAATCTTATTAGCCCTTAAATTTTTTTGTTGAATTTTGTCATTACCGTTAAAAAATTGTTAACTTTTTATATGGATCCAGGGCCCTATTCAGCTTTGTTAATACAGTGTGTCAATATTTCGCACTGACGCCATTCAGGGCATTTCCCATTCCCGAACTTAACACAGGAATTCTCTAAAAGTTCGTTTGTCATTTATAATGCAGAATGGGTCTCGAGTGTTTTTCCGTGTTCCAGTGGCAATGCGAAACCCGTTCACAGCCAGTTAGCCAGGGTTGTTGGTTAAACTTTTTAATTTTTCATTTGCTAGTCAGTTATTTCTGGCCCTGCACTTTTGCTGGGCCAAAAATAGGATGAAATTGCAAAGTACAAAGAGTTATTTAAACATTTGTCATTTGTTTCCGCCCATCACACACATCCGTTGCCAAAATTTGTTGGCCAAGTCACTTTGCATAAATAATTGCAACAGGTGAGGCCACAATATAACATCGGGAATTGCATTAATTAAACCGATGTGTATGCATTTTGTAATTAATTTTGACACATTTGTCTAGCTAAGGCAATATACCTGGATTAAAATTTGATTGTGTCAATTAAATATTTAAAGGCTGAAAAAGTAATATTAATAATTTACAGAGTGGGCCGCAAAGCCAAATGTTTCGGTAATAAAAGGGAAACTGCTTCTCCTGTAATAATATATGCGACCTGCCAGAAAGTTTAAATCGAAACAGATCCGAATTATTCAAATTCAATTGCAGCCACATGTTGTGGGTGTGCCGATATTGATTTGAGTTGGCAAGTCAACAATAATATGGAGGCTCGGACCCCGGCTCGGGGTGCAAACTGATTTACAAATGCCAGACAGAAGTGTCGGGCACAGCAGAAGCCGTCGGAAAATGTTTTTCCTTGGCTTCCGGCGAATGTCAATGCCACAATTTGGGGCACGCACACTCTCGCATTCAGCCACAACAAACCAACGAAAACAATCAAATGAAGAAGTTTATACAATAACATGGCCGCAGGCGAAAAACCAGGAGGCCTTTCCACCCAGGGAGGGGGTGGCTAGGTCAATCGGGGACGGCACCTGGCGGTCAAATAATTTATCTTGTCTTGTGAAACTTAATTAGCTGCCCCATGCAATTTTCCACCAAATTAAACTGACAGAAAAAGGACCACAGGACATAATGAAATTAAAACCAAAGGCAGAACTAGTTGCACCTTTTATATCCCACTATATTGTGTAATTAAGCCAGGGATCGCTTAATGGTTGGGCCCCTTAGGCCAAATTGTGCCGCAAGAAATCCAGATGTCGGTTTCAAACCAACCGAATTTGATAAAATATGTATAGATGACAGGCGAGCAATCAACAGGTGCCAGCAGTTTACCTCTGAGCTTCCGCAGGTGACAAGAACTCCAGCACTGCCGAGGAATCCTTCGTCCAAACGCCTCCACTCCTGCCGAGGTGTCATAAATTGTAAGCTCTTTATTACATTCTGAACCTGCTCCTGTCTGTCATGCTCCGGCAGCTGAGAAAAGGGTTACGGGTAACGAAGCGAACGGCCAACACAAAAAAAGGAGTAACTTGGCAGTGAATTATTTACCTAGATAGTGTGCCAACATTTGTAATGGATGGCCAAGACGGGCTATAGCTAAAGAGTCCCCTGGGTTATTCAAATTTAGAAGTTTGCCAGTCTTTTTTGTAGCTTAACATTTTGTTTCGAATGTTTACGAGAGCTCGCAGTTTTAAGAAATTGAAAAATACTCACTTTATCCTTGCACATGAAATTCTGAATAATATATTTAAAAACTGTAAAGGAACAAACAAATATTTAAAAAATATATTTCTTTAAAATGTCAACCGAATACAAGCTCCTTAAGTACCTCTGAACTTTCTGCAGCTTTTATGACCGCTTCCAATGAACTTCATCAAGAAGCTAATCCCAAAAAAAAGCCAGTCCAGTCCAGAAACTCAAAAGAACCGAAACAAACATCCCAACTATTTATTAACTGGACAATAGAGCGCAAATTGGCTTAGACCGCACCACACAGGTCACGCCCACCACAGCCAGTATGAAATTAACCACTTTGCGACCGAGCCAAGTAATTTGATTCCCTTCTTGGTCTTTCCTTCCATTTACTCCGTTTCCGCCAGATGCCATACAATTTCGTTGTTGGCTCTTCTTTGATTTCCCCTGCAATCTGAATGTGATAAGCAAATATGCTGCAAAATTGGCTAGAGCTTGCGTAGCCCTTTAAGATTGCTTCTCCTTCTCTCTGGCTACAATTTGGGGTCAATTGGTCCAAGTCACATGAAAGGCAAAACAAATGTTTATACTATATCGCTATTGTTACGATAAGGAACAAGACTTTCGATATACTGAAGTCAGGGATTCGCAGTGAACAAATTGTTTTCTTTATAGAATATTTTAGAATTTTACCCTGAAATGCATGGTGAGCAATATCCATAGTTAAAACTTGTAGCCAACATATTTTTCTTTTATGAAATATAGCAAAACATATGGCATTATCCTCAGGATATGCATGTAACACCCACCGCTTCTCGGCTGCGGTTCATGTATCAAATATCAGTGAACTTTCCTCACCACGCAGATAATAAAAATTACTTACTTAGCAAAGTTATTTATTGGAAGCGACGTGGTCGGACACTGCTTAATTGTGATAATTGCTTAGTTTGTGAACTAGTTTAATTGCTTGTACGTGCTGGATTTGGCCTCCTGTCCACACATCCTCGCCATCTGGTCATTAAATCAGAGTGATGAGCTGACAACAAGCTATCTCCATACTGGATTCTAGTGTTTCCCCCTGGTGGATGCATGGAGCGAGCTTAGCCCGCCCCTTTAAAAACCCCGCCCAGCACTAATGAGCTTTCGTCAACGCGGCGTATACGCATTTCGTAGATGGCTGGCTACAAAGTCGTAATCTGGCGGCGCATAAAGGCAATGTGTTTCTATTTGTCGTTGGCCACAGAGTAACACTGATTTATTGGTATGGCCTCGCCATATGACTATGGCTTTAATTCAAAACCAAAAGTTTATATGAAATAATATTTTGACAGCTTACAGACGAAGCCAAAACAAACAGCTCATATTTTGAGATATTTTGAATGTTTTAACACAAAGAAGAAGAATTTCTTAAATTTATATTGAATTGTATATATAACATTTGAAATTTTCAAGAATGAAACTCATTTATTTTAAATTTCGCCACAATTAAGCCAGCTTTAGGCCCAGTCAGAAGGCTTGTCTTGAGCACATAATTATTTAATGACTTGGCAAACACAAGGGCCAGACACTTTAAGTCCTTCATTGAAGTGCAACAAGTCCATGGGTTATGGTACAGCATTTAAGTTTTTAAGCTTTGTGGGCTTAATTAGTCGACGCGCTGTAAATGTGTCCCAAGGGCAGGTAAG